AAGGCCCATATCAACACTGTTAGGTTATTTAAGAGGTGAGACCTCAGAGTTTAACGTCCATCTCCGAAAGGACCGAGCCAAGTGCAAATTTTGTGCTAAGTGCCTTAATTTCCCAAGGACACAACGTCAGACCGAGGTAAGGCTTGAACCCCTGAACCCGCAATCTCACGATTACGAACCGGGGGGGACATTTAGAGTTACTTAGACCATGAGGTCGGAAAGTCAGAAACTAAATATTCTTTCTGTTCTATCAAACTGGCAAGATTATTATTTTCGAATCGTCATCAATATATTCAAAGAATTCAATTCGAAAAAGCTTGACATGTTGTGAAACTCAAAATCTTTAACGTCAAATTTCTCAAAACTAGGTACTGAGCAGATAGAACTTTGTAATTCTAAGGTTATAGCTATTAGTAGTTTGGTTTTCTTACAAAGAGAGCTGTAAGACGGAACCCCACTCACGAGACACGACAAGGGGGTTAGAGACTCCGCAAACTTCATTAGAACAGAAAATCAGAGCAATAAAAATGTTACCAGGAAACAGCACCAGCCCCGCCTACTTTCACACGCAGGTACGGATGGTAATATGCGCAAATTATCATTATTATCTGCCTCGGGCTAAGAGGAACTGCGAGATCGGGTCAGCAAGTTCATCTATTTCGGGTCTCTCCCTGTCTGGTATCCCTAACCCCAGATATCCTATGTTCATTAGGTGTCTTCATCTTAAGCAGTCGTAACGCACTAAACATCTTTAGCTGCCCAGAAAATACAAATAAAAGCAACAGATACAAGAATGGTTTCCCCATTTGAGTACAGAGAAACACATCGACACGATAATGGTAATTTAGTGCAGCAGAAAAAGAAGACAGCCAGAAATTTAAGAGGGAAAAAAAAGAAAAAAAGCAGGACCTACCAGAGGCGTCCTCCAACCACCTGCATAAATGCGGACAATTTCGAAACTGATGTGCCAAAAACTTTATTGCAAGAGTGTACAGGTGTTTAAGAGTCTGGTTCCTGTTTTGATGAGGCGCGTTTTAAAAGGCGGTGCGTGCATGTGTACGAGAGCGCGCACGTATGTGTTTGTGCGAGCGTGCGAGTTGTTGTGACTGTGTGTGTGTGATTGTGTGTCCGAGTGCGCGCGCGTGTGTGTATGTTTGTGTGTAAGAGAGTGTGTGCGGATGAGTGAGTGTGAGTGTGTTTGTGATAATGCGCGCGCGCGTGTGTGTGTGTGTGAGAGAGAGAGAAAGAGAGAGAGAGAGAGAGAGAGAGAGAGAGAGAGAGAGAGAGAAAGAGAGAGTATGTACATGTGTGAGCGCTATTCGCAGTCTACGACCGGGTTTCCATTCACACCTGGGTGAAGAGAAGAAAATTACTTGTGTAAAGTGTCTTTCCAAAGGACACAACATTCTGGCCTCGAACCCCCGAACCACTAGACTACCGACGCCACAGATACTGGAAGGCACGAGGCACCAGCAACAAAAATAACAACAACAATAAGCCCCCCCACACACACACACCATTACATAACAATAGTAGCCCCACTGCACCCCCCCCCAACCCACACAAACACAATGCCACGACGTCCACCGCCAGAAGCAGCGATCGAATATATCTAAATGATTTTACAGCTACTCTCTGGCTTCTTCTTAGTGTCATCTGTCAGCCTCACCCCTAATCTTAGTCTTAGGGTAGGTAAGATCGAACGCCTAGGATTTTCGCATAGGGGCGAGAAAATATCGGAGGTCCTGTGTACAAGTTTTACACGTTGAAGATCCCTTGATGGTCCAAACTCGATAAGAGTAGGCTTCGGTCACCACCCGGGCAAAAGTGTCAAAGTTAATTTCTACCACCAAACTGACCGCGCGCTCAAATGTCCTTATGCAGTCGCGAGTGCCGTAAAAGACTTACAAAAACAAAAACAATATCAGATCAAATAGAAGAACTCACCTCTGACGAGCGGACTCCGAGGCGGTCCGGAAGAGACCAGAGAGGAGGGAGGGGGCGGGAAGCCGGAGCACGGGGTAGACGGGAAACTGTGGGGCGTGGCTGGCTGGCTCTCCTCTGAGCTGCCCAGGGAACCGCGGTCACTGTTGCTGCTGCCGCAGCTACCACCACCACCACCCGTTGTGTAGTTGTGATGTTGTTGTTGCTGAGGCTGGTGGTGGTTGGGCAAACCGCCGTTGTTGAAGGCTGGGCCTCGGCTGAGCAGGTCTGGTACCTGGCCGTACATCTGACCTCCTTTGCTCAGTTGTTGCTGTTGCTGCTGTTGCTGTTGTCGTTGTAGTAGTTGCTGTCGAGCCACCACTGGAGAAACACGACAGAAGAAAAAAACTAAGAAACTAAGCTATGTCCAAGAATGACTGATCTGAACTTGACTGATTTGAACAGATAAAGTTCGCCATGAAGTGAAAATGAAATGATATAGGATTAAGGCCCATATCAACACTGCTAGGTTATTTAAGAGGTGAGACCTCAGAGTTTAACGTCCATCTCCGAAAGGACCGAGCCAAGTGCAAATTTTGTGTTAAGTTCCTTAATTTCCCAAGGACACAACGTCAGACCGAGGTAAGGCTTGAACCCCTGAACCCGCAATCTCACGATTACGAACCCAGTAGCGTAACCACCAGGCTACCGACGCCACTCGCCAAGAAGTTTGATTTTTAAAAGATAAAAGATTATTAATACGAAGACAGATCAACTGGTGAATATAACCATTAACATTTGCTGAACAAGAATTATCTGGAAAAAGAAAAGATCAAACGAAAAAAAAGACACGTTCGAATCATAATGTTGCTTCAGAGGCAAAACTTTGTGCTCCTTCTTTTCATTGTATGTCACTCTCTAGAAACGCCTCTAATCTTCGCCACTTACATTACCTAATTGTGTTGTAAGTGCCGTAGAACTCTTACTACACTACAATCAATTAAAGTAAGGAGCCAATCGAAACGACAAGGATGCAATAACAGTGTTGCAATTAATGTTTGAAATACGTCCATCGTCCGCATCTCTTCTCCTTTATGTGTTTGTTATTATTTTATAACACCTCTAATCTTTGGCACTTATATGTAACCTAATTATGTTGCAAGTGTAATAAAACTCTTACTAAAACAAAGACAATAAATGTAGAAATTGACGTGGAAGCCTCACCTTTCCCGTCGATGAGCACGACGTTGTTAGCTGGAAACATGCCAGTCTTGGCGATACGACCGTCTTGGAAAACGTAACCCCTCCATATTCCATCAGTCCTCTGCTCTAACACCTGCAACGAGACACAGAGATTTCGTAATTTAGTTTGTGTAAGAAGTTAGCAGCCCTTATAGCAAAAAAAAAAAAAGGTCATACACATGCCGGAGATTAGAAGTGTTACTAGACAGTGACATGCAACGAAAAGGGGGGGAGATAAGGACGATAGATGCTTAACAGGAAAGATGGAGCAAACTACACTCTGCTAGAGGACTGGCCTTTGAATGCACGTCCATCTTTTACAGGGCAGTGCCTGCACCAAACCACAACGCAATCACCCCAAACATACACGTTCTCTCTGTCTCTCTTTGTCTCTCCTTGTCTCTCTCTCCTTTTCACACACAAAAACAAACAAACAAACACACACACAGACAAATACGCATACTCACACACGCATGATCACCCCCCCCCCCTCTCTCTCTCTCTCACACACACACACACACACACACACACACCCCCCCCCCTTTCCACACACACACACACACACCCTAAAGCACACATTGTCTTCGTTCCCAGTTCATGTCTATAAGCTGTTCCAAAAAATGCGAGTTGACGTAGAGTAGTAAGCCCTACTCTTCAGTTTTCAAACTTTGAGGAAAACCCCTTAAAAAAACTCCTCCACACAGGTGTTAACATCATAAAATTGACTCACACCCTAGATCAGTGCCTCTATTGAATCAACACACATTCACAGGAATGGTTACGATGCGGATTCCCCCGGTCTGTTGGCGTTATTTTCATTCCGTTAAAAGTTACGTTCGTCAGGAAAGAAATGTAGGTAGGTTTTGAAGGCATCCGGGGACTGAGGCCAAAGGCAACATTTACCTTTCCCAAACGTCACATTAATTTCACTAAATTGGAAAGAGGTGGGGGGGGGGCAGAAATGCGT